CCCCAAAACCCCAAAACCCCAAAACCCCTTTTATGCAGCAAAAGACTGGTCTAGTCAATTTTTAAAAAATTTAGTAGATTTATTTAAATAATGGAACGCCTGAAGGGAATTATGGTCGACCGGAAGATCGAGCTAGGCATGAAGAATACTGTTGATAAGATAGTCAGGTCAGAACAGTTTTATAAGAAGAGAGTCGAGATTAAGGAAGCTAATAAGAAGAATAAGATATTGAAGTATCTCAGGCAAAAGACTATTGAGAAACAAAATGAACATAAGAAAAAGAAGAAGACTGATAGGAGTTTGGAGGTTTCAAGAGATGACCTTGATGAGCCTTCGAGACATGTCTCTGGTGTTGATAACGCAAATATTGAAACGGCTGAGGAGAATGAGAGAAGAGACCAGAACGCACTTGATTCACTTTATAAGGAGAGGCGAAGGTTTAGGTATTACTATAATGTTTTAAGTATCTTTGTGCAAGCACTCATTAGCTTGTTTGCTATTTTCGTATTCTTTTACTCTCTTTATATTAAGAGGGATACTAGTCCTAGAAGTCAAAAGGATAATCTGTACTTAATGGAGATAGTGGTCTCTTTCTTAATCCTAGGCGATTTGCTAAACAGTTTCATTCTTAAGAAGGAGAAGGGCAAATTTTTCAAGAGTATTCTCAACTGGACTGATTTTGTGACATCTGTTCCTATTATAATCACCTTTATGATAGATAAACGGTATACTTATTATAGCGATTTTTTCTACAACTTCTGGCAAGTTTGGAGGAACCTGAGATTTTTCAGGATCTATAAAATTGTCCAGAAAATTGGGAACATCAATGATTTTAAGTATCTTGCCAACATTTCCTCTGCAAATGACAAGGAAATTAAGTTCAGATTTGCTAATATCATATTTCACATACTTTCTTTCGTGATTTTATCTGCAAGCTTAATGATGACATTCCAAGAGCTGGCTATTGACGTCTTCGAGATAGGGGTGACTTATGAAACTGATTTCTCCTTCGATGCTGCACTATACTACACCATTATCACGATCACAACTGTTGGATATGGAGACATGTCTCCAAAGACATCATTCGCGAGGATAATTATCTGTTTCTTCTTTATTATAGCAATTATATTCATTACGAAACAGACATCTGAGCTATCAGATTTATTAAGCCAGAACAATCTGGCTTATAGGATGGCTATTAAGAGTAAAGGAGTTAAACATGTGATTTTGACTAGTTCTTCTCTGAATCTTTTGAAGCTATTCAGATTTGTAAGAGAGTTCTTCCATAAAGACCATGACATTCAGGAGAGCATCAAAGCAGTGATAATCTGCAATACTCCTCCTAGTTATGATATGATCCAAGCTCTCTCAGATTTTGAGGATAACATTCATTTTATTGTCGGATCGATTTTTGAAAAGGACACATTGATTAAAGCAGATGTAAGTCATGCAAAAGCTGCATTTATTATTTCAAACCAATATGACGACTCCAGTATGAAATGTGATACTTACGCTCTGATGGCAACGAAGGTATTGAGACTCCATAATCGGAACCTGAAGATCAATGTACAGCTAGTGAAGAAAGATAACCTTATTCATTCTTGGTGTAATTGGGACAACGTGTATTCATTAGATGAATTCAAAATGGGTATCTTAGCAGCTAACGCCTTTAACCCAGGCTTTTGTCCCTTTGTGTTGAATCTACTTTCAAGTTTTGGGAAGCTACAAAATACCTCTAAGAACTTGCTTTGGCTAACTGAGTATGCTCATGGGTTGGAATACGAAATTTATTGCATCAAGATTCCAAATAGCTACCTAACTTGCCCTTTTGCTTTCTTAGTTAGAATGGGATATTTTGGAAATGGCTCCTTGATCATTGGGATCAGGAGAAGAAAGCCAGGCTGCAAGTTCGAGCTGTATGACATCATGATCAATCCTATTAACTATGAGATTCGGAACGATGATGAGGCTATCATTCTTGCTACTGATTTTAACCATGCACAGAGATTTGAGGATAAAAGTAATAGGAATGAAACTCAGATTGAAGAAATTAAATCTAATTATGAGCTTGAATTTATCAGAAATTATGACTATGATGTCGGCTCTCTAAGGAATAGAGCGAGCCCAAACTTTAGAGATAATGATAGGGTTCATGACAAATTTTCTGACTTTTTAGACGAAACTATGATGCTGAGGGATCATATTATTGTTTTTGGTCCGCTTGAGTCTTTGCCGTCTTTGATCGAATGCTTACGCCATTTTACCTATAATTATATCTGATATGTCAGTGATATTCCTAAACCTGAAAAATGGAACCAGATAGAGGCTAAATATCAAAATGTGAGATATCTGAAATGAGTTTATTCAGACAAGAACGAGCTTGAAAGAACTGGAATTGAGCATGCGAGACATGTGATCTTATTGTCATGGATGCTGGAGAAATCGAATCATCCAGATTCAGGGATTTTGCAGATTATTCAAATGATTGAGCAATATTACCCAGATGTCCCATATACAATTGAGCTAGAAGATGAAAATAACTTAAAATATATGTCTAAGGCTTCTGAGGCTAATAAGCTTCCACTGAATTGTAATAGTAAGTATGCTGCTGGAAAGGTTCTCTACAGCTCAACTTTGGATTCCATAATAGCTCAGTCTTACTACAACGATACTCTTTTTGAAGTGCTCGATAAACTGATTTTTGGAGATAGTGATATTAGCGAGACCAAAATAGAGGAAAACTCTCGTTTAAATATGATTAGAATCACTGAAGAAATAGGAGGAATTGCTACTTATGAGAACTTCTTCTACACTTGTACACAATTGTCTCAAGATTCTAAGAGGTCAAAGAAGCCAGTTATCCCGATAGCCATCTATCGGGCACCGAATAAGAATATTTTAGGGAATGATGCTCCGTACATGATAACAAATCCTGAGAAAGGGACTCTATTGCTCACAGGTGATATTGTGTTCGTACTTGGTGATGCTGAGCATAACAAGGAGCAAAGGGACAAGGAGATCAGAAAAGGTGTCCTGAATGGGGATTTGAGCATCGGAGAAGGGATCAAATCCCGAACTATTGAGCTAACCAAGGAGAAGCTGGAGAAACTTGATGATGACAAGATACTCAATATAGTCCAACAAGAGCTGGCTGGGACTGAGAAAGAACGGAAATAAAGCTAGGATTAGGAAGAAGAAGGAAGAGCAAGAGAAAGAGAAACTTGAAGTGGTTGATGAAGAGGAGAAGAAGGAACTCATCCTTAGGAAGGATGTAAAGAGAGGAATTAGCGATATTGCGAAGATTGTGGGCCTTGATCAAAAAGGAACCAGGATACAAACGCCGAGAGAAGAGACTAAGGATATTGGAAAATCGGTCTCTTCGATAGAGGAAAGTTTTAATGAAAGAGAGTTAAGTGATGGTAATAAAGAGACTAATGGAAAGCAATCACAAAGATGTGATAATGCAGATTTGAAACTAGAAAAAGAAGATCAGTCAGAGAGTTCTCATAACTCAAGTACTGTCAAACAGAACTACATTATCAACCCAAATCAATCCCAAAAGGCTGCCCATAAAGATCCCAAAATGTTTATGAAAGAGTCTTCGCCCGAAAGAGAAGTTGAACCTTCAATGAGTATGCAAAATGATAATTTTGATTCTCAAGCAAAGCCTATCGAGAAACAAGAGGGGACTTTCTCTGCAGAAAACGACTCTGATGAAGATGGCTTCATCATTAAGCCAACAAGAAAAGTATTCTAGCCTGATTCTTATTATATTCAACAGCATGAATAAAAGAAGGGGTTTTGGGGTTTTGGGGTTTTGGGG